ACTGTTTCAACCCCTGCCTAGTGGAGGAATTTCGAATTGTTCTGTCCATCATCCAACAGTCCTCGACCTCGTGATGAACTTTGCCGAATAAATCATCCGTCTAAATAGTTAGGATCTTGAGATACAGCAGCACAAATATATTCACTTTCAATAATCACTAGCGCCACCTAGTGGAGGAATTTCGAATTGTTCTGTCCATCATCCAACAATCCTTGACCCCCTGATCAACTTTATCGAAGAAATCATCCGTCTAAATAGTCAGGATCTTGAGATACAGCAGCACAAATATATTCACTTTCAATAATCACTAGCGCCACCTAGTGGAGGAATTCCGAATTGTTCTGTCCATCATCCAATAATCCTTGACCTCCTGATCAACTTTGCCGAAGAAATCATCCGTCTAAATAGTCAGGATCTTGAGATACAGCAGCGCAAACATATTCACTTCGAATGCTCACTAGTGCCGCCTAGTGGAGGAATTCCGAATTATTCTGTCCATCATCCAACAGTCCTTGACCTCCTGATCTTCTTTGCCGAAGAAATCATCCGTCTAAATAGTCAGGATCTTGAGATACAGCAGCGCAAACATATTCACTTCGAATGCTCACTAGTGCCACCTGGCGGAGGAATTCCGAATTGTTCTGTCCATCATCCAACAGTCCTTGACCTCCTGATCAACTTTGCCGAAGAAATTATCCGTCTATATCATCGGTATCTTGAGATACAGCATTCAAATCATGCAAAATAGGAGATTTTAGGGCAAAACTGTGAAAAACCCCAACTTACCCTATCGTGCCCAAGATGAAACCTACTCCAATCGATTTCTGAGACTTTTTTCTATAAGAATGACTATTTTTTAGTCTCTTGTTCCAGCGAGCACCGAAGTTATTGAATTTTAACACATTGTTTCGATTTTGTCCCCAGTGTGCATCGCACGGAAAAGGTCCATGCGATGCTATTGGAGGTACGATAAAACGCATGGCTACCAGAGCAAGTTTAGCCAAAGAACGCGAACACCCGATAAAGACTGCAAGAGAGTTGTTTAATTGGGCAAACAAACGAAAAGAAGAAGAACTTACAAAGTTGTCATTTTGTTATTCTACTACAGAAGAATACGAAAATATGTCTTTGCAGCTAAATAATCAATATAATAATGCAAAAACAATTCAAGGAACTCTAAAATTCCACTCATTTCTTCCTCTATCAGAAAATACAATAAAGGCAAAGCTTTATTCAAACTGTCCTGACAATGATGCCAAAATATTCAATATTGTTAAGAAAGTTGTGTAAACAATAATTTTATAAAAATACAGGAATAAAAATAAACTGATGATATCCAACATATAATGTTATTTTTTATTGCGCACAATCACCATCCCTGAAAAATAAGCTTAATTCGCTCTTTTGAATCTTGCTAATTGAGGAGCTTACATTTGCAGTTCTCAAAAAGGTGTATCTCGAAATCGAGTTGTCTCATCGGTTTGATGTCAGTGGCGATGTTCGGCAATAGAGAGAAAATATGCACAGTATAAACACATCCAGTTTAAATGGATTAAACTGTTAGGCGATATGCAAGAGTTGAATGCACATTTTCAGCACAACGCACCAAAAATCACTTGAAGAAATCATTGTTCCTGATAGTGGGATTTTGTAACTTGTTTTTCAAAATACTTTTAAGGCAGAGAATTTCACTCGAATCTTTAAGCTGTCAGTGTCATTTTAACTCAAAATTTTCCAATCTTTCCGAAAAAAATACTTTTGAAACTGGAAAAACACGGAGTACATCCGAAAAGGGCCAAAACTTATTAAGTTATCAAAAAAAAAAACAATATTAAATCAGTAATATCTTCTAAACGGTGCATCTTAGAAAAATGTTACCGATGTACTTTTTGTTTGCAAATTTGATGTACTTTCATAAAATTAGGGTGACAAACTTTTTTGACTTTTCTTAAAAGCTTTTTTGAAAATTGTATTTTTTTAAAAAACAATTTTTTTCATTGTAACCTATTTTTCTCCAGAACAACCTACTGTGCACTAGATAGCATTTTCAATCAGCTATAACATAAGGATAATAAAAAAAAATATTGACATGTCACTTTAAAGGGAAAATTTATATTTTAGTTCAAAACACAAATACCAAACTTTTTTTACCGTGCATATTTTTTCCATATAACACCAACAATTGTCTAAAACTTCGCCCAAGACACCAAACCAATCGGACAAACCGTTTCTGAGATACAATTTTTTGAAGATATCATGTGCATTTTTCATAGGCCCTTCTCATAAGTAAGGCTAGATTCAAAATGGCGAACCAAGTATGCAAAACGGCGTTTTTCTTCCCCAAAAACTTGTATGCAAGGTTTCATGCAAATCAAAAAAGATGAAAATTACTCGTTGCTTTAATGATATGGAACCGCTCAGCTTCCCTCCAATCATCAGAATGGTGCAAATTTTACACCAGAAATTGTTATTAAAGCTTGTTTCTCTATTTAGCAGAAGGATGCAAATTTAAAACCAAAATTTTCAATAGAGCTCAATGTTAAATAAAGCTTGTGCCTTCATTTACCAGACTAGTGCAAGTTTCCCGCCAGAAATTTTCCGTTCATTTCATTTATCAGAGTGATGCAAATTTTGCACCAGAAATTTTCAATAAAGCATGCTCCTCCATTCACCAGAACGGTGTACCAATTATTGTCAGTGAAGTTTGTTACACCATGTACCTTTGTTGTTCAATTTTCAGTTTTTGCCTCTTCATGCACCAGAATGCTGCAAATTTTCCACCATAAATTTTCAATGAAGCTTGCATTCATCAGAACGATGTAAATTATGCACCAGAAAAATGCATAAACCTTGCTTCTACATGCACCACAGTGTAGCGAAAATTCTACCAACATCTTTTAGTTAAATATGCACCTCCAAATTTTTAGCGTGATTCATTTTTTCCAATTTTAATTTTGATTAGTCCCTCCATGCACACCCTTAATGATATTTTTACACCAGAAATTTGAATAAAAAGCTTTTTCTTCGATTTACCATCACGAAGGTAACTTTTTTCAACCTTAAATTTAACCCTCAATGAAACAGCTTAAATGTTTTGTATGCACCACACCACCGTGGTGTAATTTTTTGACCAAAAAATTTCATTGAAGTTTGTCTCTTCATGCACCTTTGTGGTGCAATTTTCAGGCACCATCTCAAAGGAAATAACATAATAAAAGGTTTTCAGTGCCGTGATTTTATGAAATGAAGTTGGGGAAGGGAAATGGATATAATGTCGGTCTAAATGTCCCTAATTTGGGCTCATACATAAATTCAGCAATCGACTAAATTTTCAATAGCGACCAACAATATCCATTTGTACCGTCCCAATGACGCGTTAATCTACACAGAAAAAAATTCAGAATTTTAACTATCGCGTAAAATCTTCCTTCGTTTAATTTTGAGCTATACTTGGTATAAACAGCGAAATCGTTTACAAGCTTTCATACAATATTGCTAATTTATGCGATATTGCGCTTAAATTTACACGAAATATCGCGTAAATTTATGCCAAATCTAGCGTTAATTTTATGTGCGCTATATCTCGCAGAAATTTACATGAATTTTTCGAACGGTGTAGTTAAAATGGATAAATAGCAGATTTTTAGTGATGGGCCCAATCTATTGAACACACTTCCTTTCGAGAGGAAACACCCCGAGGAGTTTGGTAAAGGGAATGCTCGATCCGTTTCGTACCTTCTTCAAAATTGCCCTTTGCTTAGGTGCGGGAAAACAGACAGGTGCTAGGGTGAACATTGTATATTTCTACGTTATAAAACCAATTGAACTAATTCCGGATATCTTCAAGATGGTCTTCGCACCCTAGGGGGAGCGGGCAACGACTAATATGTTCCGAAATTCAAAATGGGATGCAACAAATCTCATACCGGTGGATGTATAATGGAATTATATGTTCTAAGGATTTATGCGAGTAATTAAATTCCGACATTAAAATTTCTCTGTTGTGAAGTAATGACAGTGTCTGTTTTGCCTCGATGGTAAACTATTTAAAAAAATGCCTCTTTTTTCAAACGTAATAACAAAATTTAACTCCTAAGACGTCCAGGAACAGGATAGTAGACTATGTTGTAAGCATTTTACTGTTTTGGTTCTTTACAAACATAGGAATTTTTCACCAAAACGAACATCACATCAATGCTAGAGGAATAACCTTTTTGTTTTTGAGCTCCCATGACAAGTAGAATATTGTAGAATGCACACTAAGATTATTTCACAGATTTCTGTGAAATTTTACCGAAAGCTCAACGTTCGGTAAACAGTTCGGTGATTTTCCACAGTTTTCCTGTATTTTTTCACAGATATTCTGTTAAAAGTTACAGGAAAACTGTGAAAAATTACCGAACTGTTTACCGAACGTTCAGCTGTTGAGATTTTGGTAAAATTTCACATAAATCTGTGCAATACATATAGTTAATTTAGAGTGAGTGCGAGCAAAACTCGATTATGCAATAGTTAAGCCTTCAAACAATGAAGCGACCGTATTACCTGTCCGCCTTACCCCGAATAACTCGCAGCATCCGCAGATCCCGGGATGAACTAGCCAAAGGCTAAAAATCTCCCTTATAAAGAATTAAAAAAATGTGTTTCGTAACGTATGTCATAAAAAGCGGATCAAGTCCCCAAAACTGCATTTTTTTCATCATTCAGGAAACCGTACTAATTTATGTATCTCGTTGGAGGCTTGAGAAAGATAAGCAAGGAGTTTCTCTTGATGTAGCGAAAGTGATACACGAAAAAAACTAGAGACAAGCATCCACGGACCAAGTTAGTTGGCGCACCATTGTTAAGCAGGTCAAATCTTCAATGGACGATGCACCAGCAAAAGTTTGTAAAGGAATTTCTCTATAAGTCAATGCGAAAACCTCATACAAATTAGATTTTTCTGTTGAAACATATTCAAAGTTAAAATAATGGATCAAGTGTATCCGCTCTCCCCTAGAGCTGTTTTATTTTCGACATTACGATAAAATTAATAAGAATGTTTAATCTGTTTAATCACCAAATCTATACCTTAACAGCATTAAAACGTTGACCTCACATTTGGTATTTATTGACTTACCTTTCGGAGTGTAGGTATGTAAATTTTAAAACTATTAGAATTATATATTTTTTACAGAAAAAAAAACTTTGTACATTTACAGATTAACTTCTACAACGCCATTGCATTCTGCTAAGCCACTGGTGGTAAATAAGTCCACAATGGATTCGTAACGCTCTTGATTTGCTGGAAGCTTGGCATAATTTGTTCTTTTATCCACATTTTGTAAAATGCTATCGATACGAATGAATGCGGAACTGCCAAGGTATTACATTTCTTACTGCTCCCCGCTGTCAAGCCCGTCTGAACCCAGGTCCGGCTGCTACCGATGAAACAAATAACTGGTGATCCTTGAAATGCATCAGCACATTGACTTTTTGATTGATTCTCGTCCGTACAGATGAAACCTTCATCACATTTAGCACTAGTTAGTGCCACAGAATGTTTATCAGGTGACGCGTTGGGAATTGATTCGTTCATCAGATCTAGTTTGTTCCAGCCGACTAGGAAGCAAGGTGCCATGGGATCCAGTTTTGTTAACTCCGGCAAACAAACACTGGATCTTGTGGATGCATTTTTGCTCAAATGCAGTACGGCCAAGTTGGCAAAGCCAGTTTTGCTGTCGAAATCAGGATGGAGAGTGACTTCAGTAATGTTGATTTCCTGTTAAAAGAGAAAGGTTTAATATAGGGCCGGTTCATTCGTAAATCCACTGACTTACCCGTCTCGAGGAAAGCGTATTGAGTGGTTTAAGATTAAAATCTCCAATTCGGGCATACAATTGTTCTTCAGAGAGTCCCTTGAGACAGTCGGCAGAAGTAAGCACCAGGTCTGATTTGATCAAAGTTCCAACACATTCATATTGAGGGCGTTGTATGCCAAAAATTTCCCGTCGACTCCAAATGGTAGCCAACCATGAGACATCAGCCTTGACGACGTATTCAGCTGATGGGTCTGAACTGAACGAGCAATCAGAACCAGAACTCAAAGTTTGTGGGAGACTCGTAGGGCTTATTGGAACGATTAGAGCATTAGGAATGCCCTTAATGATGGACGGAGGGAGGAATGGAATTTGAGCTTCGCAACAAATTTGACCATTAGAACAACCGCTGTCTATAAGGCGTAGATCTATTGGAGATTTTCCAGGTGTGTAGTTGGGACACTGCCTTGGTAGTAGACATTGGCCAGGACAAGCTGCTTTTGTTTGTTCCTTCAACTTCTGGCAACAAACATGTTTCATAGGGCATTTCTTCTGCTGCTCGTAGCGTAAATTTATACCAACGTCTGCACATAGTTCAGAAAGAACGCATGTGCCAATGCAGGAGTCAGTCTTGCAACAAACTTTATTTGGAGGGCATTTTCCATTGGGTGATCGCAAGTCAATGTTATTTACAGGACACTCGTTTTGAGATACACATTTTCCGTCGCACACATCCCTGACAAAAGATTTGAGATTCTTGCAGCAAATTTCATTTTGAGGGCAACTTCCACCGGGCGATCTAAGGTTTATACCTGCCGATATCAATAGCTTATCATCACAATTTATGAGCTGAGTGCAAATTCCTTTACAAGTTTCAGATTTTTCAGGAATTTTACAGCACACCTGGTTCAACGGGCATTCACTTGTGGCGAGCCTTAAGTCAACAGATGGGCAACTTTCTGTTGGGACACAACTTCCATCGCACTTTTTAGCCTTCTTGCAACAAACTTGATTTATTGGACATAATGGTTTTCCATATCTCAGATTGATTCCTTCTGAAACTGAGCTTACATCGCATTGATTCTTTGGGACACAACTTCCATCACAAACTTCCAAATCTTGACAGCATACTTCTCCTACTGGACATGAAGCGCGGCCAAATCGCAGATCTACTGGATTGGAGCTCAACGACTTCCTTGAACATTTGCTAGCAAGAACACATTTTCCATTACAGGTAGACTCCGGTGTTTTGAGTTTTTTGCAACAAATTTGATTGCTCGGACAATTGCCGTCGGTATATCTCAAATTGATATTCTGTTGTGAATCCAGACATTGGTTCAATGGAGCACACGTTCCATCGCAATCAGGCTGTTTCTTCGGTACCTTACAGCATATTTGACTACCTGGACACAAACCATCAAATGCCCTTAAATTGATCGATTCTTTATCTGAGCATTGGTTTCTTGGCAAACATGTACCATCGCATGATCCAGCGGTTTTTATTACCGATGCCACAGGTTCAATAAATACTTTCCGATTCTTGCAACACACTTGATTTAATGGACACAATGGTTTTCCATATCTCAGATTGATCTCTCCTGAAGCTAAGGTGTCATCGCATTGATTCTTTGGGACACAACTTCCATCACAATCTTCCAAATCTTGACAGCATACTTCTCCTACTGGACATGAAGCGCGGCCATATTGCAGATCTATTGGATTGGAGCTCAACGACTTCCTTGAACATTTGCTAGCAAGAACACATTTTCCATTACAGGTTGACTCCGGTGTTTTGAGTTTCTTGCAACAAATTTGATTGTTCGGACAATTGCCATCGGTATATCTCAAATTGATATTCTGTTGTGAGTCCAGACATTGGTTCAATGGAGCACACGTTCCATCGCAATCAGGCTGTTTCTTCGGTACCTTACAGCATATTTGAGTACCTGAACACACACCATCAAATGCCCTCAAATTGATCGATTCTTTGTCTGAGCATTGGTTTCTTGGCAAACATGTACCATCGCATGATCCAGAGGTTTTGAATGCCGATGCGAAAGGTTTAGTAAGAACTTTCCGATTCTTGCAACACACTTGATTTATTGGACATAATGGTTTTCCATATCTCAGATTGATCTCTCCTGAAGCTAAGGTGTCATCGCATTGATTCTTTGGGACACAACTTCCATCACAATCTTCCAAATCTTGACAGCATACTTCTCCTACTGGACATGAAGCGCGGCCATATTGCAGATCTATTGGATTGGAGCTCAACGACTTCCTTGAACATTTGCTAGCAAGAACACATTTTCCATTACAGGTTGACTCCGGTGCTTTGAGGTTCTTGCAACAAATTCGATTCCCCGGACAATTGCCATCGGTATATCTCAAATTGATATTCTGCTGTGAATCCAGACATTGGTTCAATGGAGCACACGTTCCATCGCAATCAGACTGTTTCTTCGGTTCTTTACAGCATATTTGACTACCTTGACAAAAACCATCAAATGCCCTCAAATTGATCGATTCTTTGTCTGAGCATTGGTTTCTTGGCAAACATGTACCATCGCATGATCCAGCGGTTTTTATTACCGATGCCACAGGTTCAATAAATACTTTCCGATTCTTGCAACACACTTGATTTATTGGACATAATGGTTTTCCATATCTCAGATTGATCTCTCCTGAAGCTAAGGTGTCGTCGCATTGATTCTTCGGGACACAACTTCCATCACAAACTTCCAAATCTTGACAGCATACTTCTCCTACTGGACATGAAGCGCGGCCAAATCGCAGATCTATTGGATTGGAGCTCAACGACTTCCTTGAACATTTGCTAGCAAGAACACATTTTCCATTACAGGTTGACTCCGGTGTTTTGAGTTTCTTGCAACAAATTTGATTGCTCGGACAATTGCCATCGGTATATCTCAAATTGATATTCTGCTGTGAGTCCAGACATTGGTTCAATGGAGCACACGTTCCATCGCAATCAGACTGTTTCTTCGGTTCTTTACAGCATATTTGACTACCTGGACACAAACCATCAAATGCCCTTAAATTGATCGATTCCTTATCTGAGCATTGGTTTCTTGGCAAACATGTACCATCGCATGATCCAGCGGTTTTTATTACCGATGCCACAGGTTCAATAAGAGCTTTCCGATTCTTGCAACACACTTGATTTAATGGACACAATGGTTTTCCATATCTCAGATTGATCTCTCCTGAAGCTAAGGTGTCGTCGCATTGATTCTTCGGGACACAACTTCCATCACAAACTTCCAAATCTTGACAGCATACTTCTCCTACTGGACATGAAGCGCGGCCAAATCGCAGATCTATTGGATTGGAGCTCAACGACTTCCTTGAACATTTGCTAGCAAGAACACATTTTCCATTACAGGTTGACTCCGGTGTTTTGAGTTTCTTGCAACAAATTTGATTGCTCGGACAATTGCCATCGGTATATCTCAAATTGATATTCTGCTGTGAATCCAGACATTGGTTCAATGGAGCACACGTTCCATCGCAATCAGACTGTTTCTTCGGTTCTTTACAGCATATTTGACTACCTGGACACAAACCATCAAATGCCCTCAAATTGATCGATTCTTTGTCTGAGCATTGGTTTCTTGGCAAACATGTACCATCGCATGATCCAGCGGTTTTTATTACCGATGCCACAGGTTCAATAAGAGCTTTCCGATTCTTGCAACACACTTGATTTAATGGACACAATGGTTTTCCATATCTCAGATTGATCTCTCCTGAAGCTAAGGTGTCGTCGCATTGATTCTTCGGGACACAACTTCCATCACAAACTTCCAAATCTTGACAGCATACTTCTCCTACTGGACATGAAGCGCGGCCAAATCGCAGATCTATTGGATTGGAGCTCAACGACTTCCTTGAACATTTGCTAGCAAGAACACATTTTCCATTACAGGTTGACTCCGGTGTTTTGAGTTTCTTGCAACAAATTTGATTGCTCGGACAATTGCCATCGGTATATCTCAAATTGATATTCTGCTGTGAATCCAGACATTGGTTCAATGGAGCACACGTTCCATCGCAATCAGACTGTTTCTTCGGTTCTTTACAGCATATTTGACTACCTTGACAAAAACCATCAAATGCCCTCAAATTGATCGATTCTTTGTCTGAGCATTGGTTTCTTGGCAAACATGTACCATCGCATGATCCAGCGGTTTTTATTACCGATGCCACAGGTTCAATAAATACTTTCCGATTCTTGCAACACACTTGATTTATTGGACATAATGGTTTTCCATATCTCAGATTGATCTCTCCTGAAGCTAAGGTGTCGTCGCATTGATTCTTCGGGACACAACTTCCATCACAAACTTCCAAATCTTGACAGCATACTTCTCCTACTGGACATGAAGCGCGGCCAAATCGCAGATCTATTGGATTGGAGCTCAACGACTTCCTTGAACATTTGCTAGCAAGAACACATTTTCCATTACAGGTTGACTCCGGTGTTTTGAGTTTCTTGCAACAAATTTGATTGCTCGGACAATTGCCATCGGTATATCTCAAATTGATATTCTGCTGTGAGTCCAGACATTGGTTCAATGGAGCACACGTTCCATCGCAATCAGACTGTTTCTTCGGTTCTTTACAGCATATTTGACTACCTGGACACAAACCATCAAATGCCCTTAAATTGATCGATTCCTTATCTGAGCATTGGTTTCTTGGCAAACATGTACCATCGCATGATCCAGCGGTTTTTATTACCGATGCCACAGGTTCAATAAGAGCTTTCCGATTCTTGCAACACACTTGATTTAATGGACACAATGGTTTTCCATATCTCAGATTGATCTCTCCTGAAGCTAAGGTGTCATCGCATTGATTCTTTGGGACACAACTTCCATCACAATCTTCCAAATCTTGACAGCATACTTCTCCTACTGGACATGAAGCGCGGCCATATTGCAGATCTATTGGATTGGAGCTCAACGACTTCCTTGAACATTTGCTAGCAAGAACACATTTTCCATTACAGGTTGACTCCGGTGTTTTGAGTTTCTTGCAACAAATTTGATTGCTCGGACAATTGCCATCGGTATATCTCAAATTGATATTCTGCTGTGAATCCAGACATTGGTTCAATGGAGCACACGTTCCATCGCAATCAGACTGTTTCTTCGGTTCTTTACAGCATATTTGACTACCTTGACAAAAACCATCAAATGCCCTCAAATTGATCGATTCTTTGTCTGAGCATTGGTTTCTTGGCAAACATGTACCATCGCATGATCCAGCGGTTTTTATTACCGATGCCACAGGTTCAATAAATACTTTCCGATTCTTGCAACACACTTGATTTATTGGACATAATGGTTTTCCATATCTCAGATTGATCTCTCCTGAAGCTAAGGTGTCGTCGCATTGATTCTTCGGGACACAACTTCCATCACAAACTTCCAAATCTTGACAGCATACTTCTCCTACTGGACATGAAGCGCGGCCAAATCGCAGATCTATTGGATTGGAGCTCAACGACTTCCTTGAACATTTGCTAGCAAGAACACATTTTCCATTACAGGTTGACTCCGGTGTTTTGAGTTTCTTGCAACAAATTTGATTGCTCGGACAATTGCCATCGGTATATCTCAAATTGATATTCTGCTGTGAATCCAGACATTGGTTCAATGGAGCACACGTTCCATCGCAATCAGACTGTTTCTTCGGTTCTTTACAGCATATTTGACTACCTTGACAAAAACCATCAAATGCCCTCAAATTGATCGATTCTTTGTCTGAGCATTGGTTTCTTGGCAAACATGTACCATCGCATGATCCAGCGGTTTTTATTACCGATGCCACAGGTTCAATAAATACTTTCCGATTCTTGCAACACACTTGATTTATTGGACATAATGGTTTTCCATATCTCAGATTGATCTCTCCTGAAGCTAAGGTGTCGTCGCATTGATTCTTCGGGACACAACTTCCATCACAAACTTCCAAATCTTGACAGCATACTTCTCCTACTGGACATGAAGCGCGGCCAAATCGCAGATCTATTGGATTGGAGCTCAACGACTTCCTTGAACATTTGCTAGCAAGAACACATTTTCCATTACAGGTTGACTCCGGTGTTTTGAGTTTCTTGCAACAAATTTGATTGCTCGGACAATTGCCATCGGTATATCTCAAATTGATATTCTGCTGTGAGTCCAGACATTGGTTCAATGGAGCACACGTTCCATCGCAATCAGACTGTTTCTTCGGTTCTTTACAGCATATTTGACTACCTGGACACAAACCATCAAATGCCCTTAAATTGATCGATTCCTTATCTGAGCATTGGTTTCTTGGCAAACATGTACCATCGCATGATCCAGCGGTTTTTATTACCGATGCCACAGGTTCAATAAGAGCTTTCCGATTCTTGCAACACACTTGATTTAATGGACACAATGGTTTTCCATATCTCAGATTGATCTCTCCTGAAGCTAAGGTGTCATCGCATTGATTCTTTGGGACACAACTTCCATCACAATCTTCCAAATCTTGACAGCATACTTCTCCTACTGGACATGAAGCGCGGCCATATTGCAGATCTATTGGATTGGAGCTCAACGACTTCCTTGAACATTTGCTAGCAAGAACACATTTTCCATTACAGGTTGACTCCGGTGTTTTGAGTTTCTTGCAACAAATTTGATTGCTCGGACAATTGCCATCGGTATATCTCAAATTGATATTCTGCTGTGAATCCAGACATTGGTTCAATGGAGCACACGTTCCATCGCAATCAGACTGTTTCTTCGGTTCTTTACAGCATATTTGACTACCTTGACAAAAACCATCAAATGCCCTCAAATTGATCGATTCTTTGTCTGAGCATTGGTTTCTTGGCAAACATGTACCATCGCATGATCCAGCGGTTTTTATTACCGATGCCACAGGTTCAATAAATACTTTCCGATTCTTGCAACACACTTGATTTATTGGACATAATGGTTTTCCATATCTCAGATTGATCTCTCCTGAAGCTAAGGTGTCGTCGCATTGATTCTTCGGGACACAACTTCCATCACAAACTTCCAAATCTTGACAGCATACTTCTCCTACTGGACATGAAGCGCGGCCATATTGCAGATCTATTGGATTGGAGCTCAACGACTTCCTTGAACATTTGCTAGCAAGAACACATTTTCCATTACAGGTTGACTCCGGTGTTTTGAGTTTCTTGCAACAAATTTGATTGCTCGGACAATTGCCATCGGTATATCTCAAATTGATATTCTGCTGTGATTCCAGACATTGGTTCAATGGAGCACACGTTCCATCGCAATCAGACTGTTTCTTCGGTACTTTACAGCATATTTGACTACCTGGACACAAACCATCAAATGCCCTTAAATTAATCGATTCCTTATCTGAGCATTGGTTTCTTGACAAACATGTACCATCGCATAATCCGGAGGTCGTGGATACGGATGTCAAAGTTTTTGGTCTTTTGCAGCAAACTGCTGTTCCAGGACAGATGGAATCATTAAATCTTAGATCTATAGACTTATCGTCACATTGTTCACGCGGTATGCACGATCCGTTACACAGATTTGATTTTTGAGTTGTGTTGCAGCATATTTTTTCATCCGGACAGGCCCCATCCGCTAGCCTGAGATTAACCGTAATGATTTTTCCATGATCAGGACAATTAAACGGAAAAACACACTCTCCATCGCAAAAACCACCTGTATGATCACCTGTCGATTGTATAACATTTTTGCAGCAGACATTATTTACCGGGCATGTGGCAGTAGATAATCTTAAATCTAAAGTTTTCATAACGTCATTACACTGGTGTTTGGGAACGCATTTTCCATCACAGCCTGTAAAAACTGGGTTTTTGCAACACACATGTTCGAAAGGACACCTATTTTCTGACGATCGCAAACTGATAACACTTTTCCATGTGTTTAGTTCAGGACATTGACGTTGAGGGACACATTTTCCATCGCACTCAAAACCATCTGATCTAAGGTTTTTACAACAGATTTTATCATTTGGACATTCCAAACTTCCCAAACGCAAATCAATTCTTTTAGAATTATGAGGACCGTCAGCACACTGATCCACCGTGGTACACGTTCCATCACAACCTTTCAACTGATTCGTATCACAACAAACTTCGTTAGGTGGACATCCTTCGGATATTCTTAAATTTATAGTTTGTGCAGCATTGGGACACCTGGCTGCTGGAAGACATATTCCTTTGCAAGTAGATGAATTTTGCTTTTGTCCAGAATACTTTGGCTTTTTGCAACATGTTTCATGGTTTGGACACTGGTTGTCATCCAATCTTAGATCAATTCCATTATCGTCACATCTTGCTCGAGGAAGGCACAAACCGTCACATTTTCTACTTAATTTCACATTGTTGCAACAAATCTGGTTCACTGGACAGTTTCCATCCGAATATCGTAAATTTATCATTCCCCTCACAGGATTGTAATCAGAGCATTGACTAGGAGATACGCATTTTCCTTTGCAAGCATCATTATTTACAATTGATGGTCTTCTGCAGCACACTTGTTGCACCGGACAATTTCCTATGTTTATTCTCAAATCAATACCATCACTGCACTGTGCCGATGGTAAACAAACTCCATCGCAAGATTTAGGCACGTTTCTACAACATATATTGTTACCTGTACACCCACTGCCACTAACCCTTAGGTCAAGTGAATCCAGTACTGCCGCACACTCTGATGCCGGTACACATTTTCCATCGCATGTGTCTTCAGACCACACTAAGTTCGTATCAACTTCACCTAATTTGCAGCATACCATATCAGTTGGACATTCATTTCGCTGAAATCGCGTATCAATTAGACCTTCACCATATTGCTTTACAGTGCCATTGGAGTCACATTGGTATTCCGGTACACAAACACCTTTCGAACACAGCAGATCATTTTCCGCAGAACATCTGATAGTAATTGAAGAAAGTGCGATGATGCAAAAGATTTGTAGCGCCACCAGACGATACGAAATACAATTCCTTCTTATTCGAGACATCGCATCTACCTAACTGACGGCACCACGATTCTCGATCGAGAAGGTTGGATTATACGTTTCGAATTTAAAATACCTGTTTGCTAGTTTCTACGTTGGAGACCTTCATGATGTGTCAATGACGCAAGATTACAGTGTATCTCAAAATTGAGCGTTCAGCTGTCCTTATATTTTATCAGAAAAAAACAGCTGTTTCAATACAAATTAAAAAGGTAGATTTATGAATTTTAGACTACGGCTCATCAAACATTTTTCGGTTCAAAGCTTATTTGATTGAGTGTGTAAGAAAACCGTCTATTTTTAGTCAACAAACTTCAATTTCCCGAAATACAATGAAGTAATCTTTTTGAAATTTGCTCATTTGCAGTCACAAAAAAAATAATTTCAATAGGTTCTAAATTCAATAAAATCCGTCTTCTTCGAAAATAGTTGAAAATTCATGGTTTAACAAAAGAATCTCAAATATCATACGGGCTCTGCCAATAAAGTCCAGAACTATACCGATGAATCAATTCAATCACCAGCCAAGATTTCTAAAAATCTTTCTATTCACAGTTTTTCAAACAATTGTCCATTCAGATGTACGCTCAATTTTGAGATACACTGTTTATGCGGTGGTTTTCTGTAAAACTTTGATAACACTTTTGTCAATGCAGGTTAAAAGCTGTTTCATTAGCGTCGCTTTTTGATGTTATTCTTAACCATCTTGAGTGATTTTTAATTTGCTAGAAGCCACAAGTAAGATTGTTTATTCTATGATAGTCCTATGGTGGATAGATATCTTAACCGATTGCAGTTTCTTAGTGACAGTTATTTTTAATCATCGGGAATCCCATTTGCGCTGAAAATAACCTGAAGCTGATAGAAACCCGCAATTAATCTTAATTGAACAATTAAATTTGCTTGTACCACCAAATTACTAAAAGAATCCAACAGATTTAACTTGCGCATACGATTTATTGGGGTAGATAAGCTTTCCGCCTCGTAGCTGACGATCGTCCTAAACATGTGCTTGGTTTTATCTGTAAAATTATATCGAAACATGTTTACCTTGGCTTTATCGTAACCTGTGACCAGTGGTGCTTCTTTAGCAATCTCGTTGATTGAGTTGCAAAGCTGTGAACCCCACAAAAATAACGATGCAGAGGCAAATTGGTTTCTCGCATACAGCCTTGTAGCAGCAATCGTTCGTAGCACGTGAATAGGATAAGAAACGCTCAAGAAATGTTTTATTCATGAGCATTTCCTGCCCTGGAATGCCGATCTCAAGAAATATGATGAATGCCGATCTCAAGAAGTATGAGTGTAAAATTTCGTTACTATGAATGCACATAAAAGGAGCGTTATATATCATAAAAGTTTACATAATAGATCATGTAAATTTTTGATACATTTCATGAAATATTACAAATATTGTATGCAAACGTCCATAGTTTTTAGCAACATTTCCTGCAAGTTGCTAATTTACGTGAAAAAGAAGTTTACAGGCATGACTGTTTGCATGCATGGATTTTTACATGATTAGTAAAATTCAGAATTTTTTGTGTGTACATATAGATGATTGTGAAATGAGGATAGCGCTTTCTGAAAAAAAAAATCAATTTCCTTGTGACATGTTTACTGCAATTAAAATGTTGGCTGCAATTAAAATTAAAAAAATACTGTGCAGCTGTATACCAATTAACACCGGGAGCTAAATATTAACGCCGAATACCAGGTTCATGAATAACTCGGCCTTAACTGTTCAACCAGCTGTATCTCGGTAATTGAGTCATAATAGACGCGAAATTCAGCTCAATAGAACGTACTTTCAAATGAAGTAATGAAATTGGGTTGTTAGCGGAATGCTAAATAAAACAGCAAAAAATGTTATCTTCCATTTAATTCCACTTAATTAATTTTGGTATCCATGACAGATACGTATTTCGACTACAATGTGCAGTCTTCATCAGTGTCATTCCCACTAAAGAACTTATCAAAATCTAACCCCCTTAAGTACTCATCCCCTAGGTAAAAAAGTCAAGATCATAGGTATAAAAATGAAACTACAATGTGTTGAATCGGAACCTACCTAACTAATAAAAACCAAAGATTTAAGTAAGCTAAAGGAGAAAAATCTATACAACTCTCTAATAAGGAAAATCCCCAAAGGCTTGGTAGCCATCATAATGAAGTAATGAAATTGGGTTGTTAGCGGAATGCTAAATAAAACAGCAAAAAAGGTTATCTTCCATTTAATTCCACTTAATTAATTTTGACATGACAGATACGTATTTCGACTACAATGTGTTGAATCGGAACCTACCTAACTAATAAAAACCAAAGATTTAAGTAAGCTAAAGGAGAAAAATCTATACAACTCTCTAATCAGGAAAATCCCCAAAGGCTTGGTAGCAAAAAAGGTTATCTTCCATTTAATTCCACTTAATTAAGATTTGTTTATTTTTGTGGCCATAAAAATTACATCAGATTTTCGACATGATTTAAGTGCATCCTCTTGGATGTAATATTAAAATTTATTTTTTGCTGTATATGGGAGCGAGCTGTCAGTTTGTCAGTTTAGTGTCAAACAGTGAAGTTATTATTTTCCTTTAAATCTTGATTTCGAGATCGAGATGAAAGCGTGTGGGCTCAAAAAAAAATATCGCTATGCTCAGAAAACGAAGCTCTTTCAGATGATATATAATAACCAATATATTTTTCAAAATTAAAGAACCTAATTCGTAGTGGAGTTTAGATGAAATGATCTACTAGATCAACAAGGATTGGTACAGTATATATAGCAATGAAACACATTTAAACATGTTCATAGAGCAGTTCCGTTTACTTTACAATTCATTTACATGAAAATCAGATATTATAGGTTCTTCAAATCACGCTAGAGTCCAAGTCAAATAATCTACTAGATCAACCACGGCTAGTGCAGTACCATTAAAAACGAAACTTGCCCAAGCATGTTCATAGTTCCCATCCCAATTAACAAATCTAGAGCTGCTTGGATATATTCAAAATTTACAAAGGTTTTATTGCAGCTGCAACCATTACGGTCATATACAATGCAAATAAAACAATATGAATCGCCCTTATAAAACCCAAAAATAAATCCTTATATTGCTATATAAGTAAGTGCAATAAAACTAGTTGGCCATGCAACAGTTATTTTAAAACAATTATAAGCATTCAGTTGGAACTTGTAAGGAGTGTTAGTGGGTGGTTTATTTTTATAACATAGAAAAGAATCAAAACTTTCCGGTACTTCCAAGCGGAGCGCAAAGAAAATCAACTTAATTGCTACAGTCAGCCGCAAACCTTCGTGAATAACTCCAACCAAGAAAAAAAAAATGCCGCTGCATTTTCTGCGGATGACATACACAGTTCGAAAAAGTAGTGTAAATTTCTGTTTAGTATGATGCACATGAATGGAGCCCCTCCCCATGGACATGGAGGTTGACGGTACTGAAGCAAAGGGTTATGTTTAATTTCTTTATATTTGCAACGATGATGATTTCCTATAGTGACACACATAACGTTCTTAATGCTTCAGTATGCCTCAAACGATTAATTCTTGGTTGTTAATAGAACTTCCTTGATGAAATCGGCTGCTTCATGCAGACTGAGCAATTCTGATTATAGTATCAGATTTGTTCTGTATACAGAGGAGCTGGGAAGGCTTATTATAAACTTCTCCCAAATAAAATAATGATCTTCTAGTAAAGGTTGCATATAATTTTATTATTATTTTATTATATTTAAGCAAATTATTTTTGTTACAGTTAATTAAAATAAGCATACGATACAAGAGATTTAATATTAC